TTTTCTTTTTTTTTTTTTTGTCTTTTTGAGACAGGGTCTCCCTGTAGCCAGCCCCAGCTGTCCTGGAACTCACTATGTAGCTGGCCTCGAAGTCACAAAGATCTGCCTGCCTCTGCCTCTCAAGTGATGGGATTAAAGGTGTGCGCCACCACACCTGGCAGGCTTTCAATTTTCATTCAGTCCCCACCTACCTCCATCTCTCACACTACTGCCAGGATCTCACTACGTTACAAACATCTGACTACACCACTGTCTTCTTTAAGAATCCTCACTTGTTCTCCATCTATAACCATGATCTGTAATCTTTTGTGACAGTACAGTTCCCTTTTTTAAAAATATTTTTTTTATTTTATGTGTATGAGTGTATTGCCTGTATGTATGTGAGTGTACCCGTGTCGTGCAATGCAGTGGAGGTCAGAAGAGGGCTTCGATTTCCCCTGGAACTGGAGTTAAGGATGGTCCGTAGCCGCCATGTGGGTGCTAGGAATCAAACCCGGGTCCTCTGCAAGAGCAGTCAGTGCTCTTAACTGCCGAGCCATCTCTCCAGCCCCAAGGTGGGTAATTTTAAGTAATATGGATTCTGGTAGACTGGAAAATGAAGGGCACCTACAGAAGTCTTTGTTCTCAAGGACCTTCAAACACAGAGTAAAAGATAAACACATAAGTAGACACAGGAAAGACCACAATAGAACAGAGGTAGGTGTGTCATGGGTTTGAATTTTCTCTTAACTACCCTTTTTTCGTTGGATACTTCAAGAAACCTAAATATAACTTTTGTAGCTCCAACTTACACTATCTCCAGATATGGTAAGGGGCTTCTGCCAATGTCACACTTGGATCTGGCCTATAAAGTCTTAATCTTTCTAGTGTCCATGTGCCTCTGTTCTGGTATCAATACCCACTCCCTCTATTTTTTTTTTGAGATAAGGTATTGCTATGTAGACTGTACTAGAATTCTCTATCCTTCTGCCTCAGTCTCCCAAGACCTAAGATTATAGGTGTCTTACCATGTCCTGATAGGTAGGGACTATGAGAATAAATTTTACTCTGATGGTAGGAGTATATATTATCTGTAGGAGTAGTTAATATTAGTGATAGAAATAAAGTGCTATAAGTATTCTTTCCAAATCTATTCCAGGTGCTATGGAGTCACTGGAAGAGTGACATACTTTTAGGTATTTATACCTAAAGAAACTCGAGCAAAAGGCTCATATAGTAGGAGGCAATTCCCACAGATAAGCACCTGACCAGCAAACCCTCATTTTGGGGTCCAGTCATTTAATCATTTCCTGTTGTTTTGGTTTAAACTCACAAAACTTCAGTACCAAAAATTCTAACTCGTAAAGAACTACAACATTTGCAATTAAAGCAGTACTTCCCAAACTCTCCTACAGGCAAAGAACTTACACTCTTAAGGAATCTGGGATGCATTAATAAGTTGCTTGTTGTGGGTGGGAAATTTCTTTTGATTTCTTCATGTTTCATTTACTAATTCATGAGAACTTTATATTTTATTTTATAATACATCAATAATAACCCCTGAAATCTGTAAAATCAACACTTCAGGAGATAAGCCCACATCTATCTTATGGCTTTCCATAGTTCAATGTGAAAAACAGGACCACAGAGACACCTTTGATGCAGTGATCAAATCAGTTAATTTGAAATTTCAAGAAATCAGAAGAGATGATTCTTAGTATAAGGGACAAGAATTTTTTCCCAATACCCTTAATTGGTTATAAAAATGGAAGTAAATCACAATAGAGAAATGTTCAAACCAGTCTTCTCAGTCATCTAGGAGACTGTTTAGTCTCCACACAGTGTATTTTGATGGTAATGGAAGTGAGAATAAGGAAAACAGAGACAAGAGTAAAACTGTACACTCATCCAGTATCTAAATGATGAGCATTAGTGGGAAAAAGAAAAAAAATGGAGGGTAAAACTTACTTTAAAGTCTGCTAGTTGTTGGTTGATGACATCCACTTCAGTCCCCACTACCCACTGGAGTGCTTCTCCCTCCTCTGCAGCTGTAGTGGCATCACTGAGTACTTTTAATTTCCTATAGAAGTCCTCTACACGACCCAGTGTCAGCTCTAGCTGTTCCTGGCGAGCCTTGGCCCTCTCTGTCAGCTTACCACACTGTTTGTTAAGGGCTTCCAGCTCCCTCTTAAGACCTGACAAGTCCAGAGTCCCCTCTTCCTCCAACATTTTTCGACATTCTTCTTCAGAATCTTCTATGTCAACTCTAAGGATTTGGATTTTGTTAAGGAACTGCCTTACATCCTCAATTTGTGACTGGAGGCTATCCGTGTCTCTGCCAATGGCACTCATACTATCTAGCTCATCATCCAAGTCAGCCAACTGAGAAAACATTTCTCGGACTCGGCAGTGAAACTGGCCAATCCCCTCTAGTTTGTTTTCCATGGTCAGGCAACCACTATTTACTCTTTGCTTCACTTCTAAAAACTCTTGCTGGGTGACCTCAGCCTGATGCAAAAGTTGGGAGGCATCAGATCCATCTGGAGCATCTTCTACCAGTCCCTGAGTGAAGTTCCTCAGGTAGTCCACCTGAGGCTCTAGGGCCTGCAGTGCCTCTTGTTGAGCTCTTAGCTTCTCCAGATTCTTGTTACTACAGGCTTGAGAGCCCAGAGCATCAAAGATTTCAAGTTGATGTTTAGCTCCTTCAACCTTCTTTTCAATATTCTTAAAGCTTTCCTGGAACTCCTTGAGCCTCTGAGCCATCTCTTCTAGAGACCCTGTTTTGGCCTGCAGCTCCTCTGTAATGACATCCACATTCTGGTTGATTCCAGCCTTCTCGTCCCGGATATCATCCTCATCTGTTTCTGAAGAATTGATCAGAATATCAGCAGCACTATTCAGTATTTCCAGCAAGGAGCGGCGCTTCTCCACTTCACTCAGTATAGCCTTTGACCTCAGGAGACTGGACTCCAGCTGCACTGGATCCAGAGTGACCCGCAACTCTGACATCTTGGCCTTACAATCTTCAATCCAGGGCACAAGGTCTTCTACATGCCACTGATATTTCTGAGCTTTCTGCATACAGTCCTTGAGCCTAGATTGTCTGTCTGCAGTTTTTTTACTAAGTTCTTCCCAGTGGCTTTTGAGTTCAACTAATTGGTTTTGTAAAGCCTTCTTCTCTTCTCCAGGAGGCACTGAAAGCAGCAGAGACTCCCCCTCAGCAACAATCACCTCATAGGAACCACTGTGTTGATTAAGACTCTTCTGAAATTCTTCATTCTCTTGTAGCTGAGACTGTAACCGCTCCAATTTTGCAGAAATTGGGCAGTTTTTTGCTTGCTGGCTTTGTTTTTCATCTAACCAGGTCCTCAGCTCATCAAACATTTGCTGGAACTGCTGGGTGCTGGCAAGAGCTACCTGCAGTCTGTTCATGCGATCAGCTGAAATGATAAAATGAAAAAAAATCACTCAAGCCTGATCTTGGGACTTAAAATATTTGTAAGAGTCTATGGTCTAATTTTAAGGGCAGAAAACATTGAGAATCTACCACAAGAGGTATAAAAAGGGTATACTGTACACACTACATCTTACTCCTGTTATCAACCTTGTAAGGTGACCTGAGACTTCAAAGCCAGTAAGAACTGAAAATCATAAACATTTCCAAGAGGTAACAAATTAATGACAAATTCTTATAAAAAAAATCATCATTAGAAGTCCAAAATATATGGCTGGAGAGAAGCCTCGGCAGTTAAGGGCACTGGCTGCTCTTGCAGAGGACCCCCGTTCAAATCCCAGCACCTACATGACAGCTTAACAACTGTCCATGACTCCAGTTCCAGGGGATCTGATGCCCTCTTCTGACCTCTGCAGGCACTGCATGACATAAGTACACTTACATACATGCAGACCAAACACTCATAACACATTAACAAATAATATATAAATTTTTAATTTATTATTTTTTATTTTATGTGTACGCATGTATTGCCTGCATGTAGATAAGTGTACCATGTTGTGCAACGCCCAGAAGAGGCCGTCAGATCCCTTGGAACTGGAGTTACAGACAGTTGTTAGCTGCCATGTGGATGCTAAGATTCGAACCCGGGTCTTTTGCAAGAACTGCCAGTGTTCTTAACCATTGAGCTATCTCTCCAGCCCAATATATATATTTTTTTAAAATCCAATATATACCCTAACTTTGCATAATGGGGTCAGGGATATGCATGCCCACCCACAATGTAATGAAAACTAAGTTCTATTAGTCAAAGTGTGTATATAACTCCACCTATTAGTAAATCTCTGGACAGGAGTGTCAATAGGCTGGCTGACTTTGTCCTAGAACTTTTTTTTTCGTACTAGAACTTTTATCTCTAGGACTGTGCTATGCTATGTGAAGGTCCATATATGCCAGTACTTAGTGTGTAATAACCACAGTAATTCTCATTGTCACTGGAAGAAAAGAGGTTAAAATGCTAGGTCTGAAAGTACTTAAAGATCATTCTGAATTCTTGGGCTACTGCTATGCCATTCCTTCTTTCTTTCCCCACCTTCTCCCATGGAAATTCTTTTTGAGACAGGGTCTCCCTATAGCCCCAGCTGGCCTGGAACTCACTATGTAGACCAGGCTGGCCTTGAACTAGTTGAGATTCACCTGCCTCAGCCTCCCAAGTGCTGGGATTAAAGGTGTGCACCACCCAGCTTCTTGTTATTCTAACTCCACTCACCTGCAAGGTCTTCTAAGCCTTGGAGTGGCAGGGCAACTGTCTCCAAACGCTTCTTCAGCTCATCCTTGAGGTACTGCTCACCAATGAGCAGTGAGAGTTCATCACACAGTAGCTGAGCCTCCTTAATTTCATTGTCTAATTGTTCCAAGTCAGATCGAATCTCACTGGTCTCTTCCAGTTGCTGCTTTACAGCTTCAGGTTGGGTGCTGATGGCTGACTGACCATTCAGTCGCTGCCCAACTGCCTTCACCTTTTCTGACAAATCCTGGAGCAATTCTTGGTATTGGGTGCTTTTAACAATAGCTTGGTCAATTTGGTTGGAACGGGAGTTAAGTTTGTCAGTGAGCTCAACCCACTTCTGATTGATGCTCTGGAGGTCTTTCTGTACCTGGCTGGTGGATAGAGAGACATCTCCAGGGCCTGTTAGGATACCCTGAGCTGCCTCATTCAGCTGCTCATGCTGTTGCCTGCGTGTTTCAAATTCCTTCAGCATAAACTGAAACAGAAATGACACCAAGATGTTGAGAGAGAAAAAACAGATCTAGAAGTAGTGTCAAAACAAAAACTGACTTTGGATTGTGCCAGCCCATTTTGAAAGTAAGCCAGAAAACTCCAGGGACCAGGCTACTAGGTTGATAACTGCATTATTTTTAATGATTGGTTAATAAAGCTTTATTATGAAAGAATCATTGATTCAATTTTTTTTTTTCCTACTTGGCTTTAATATTGGTTACTATGGCCATCCTAGGTTGGGAAATTGGGTTGGTTCGCCAGCTTTGCCATTTAAACCAGGTCTCATGCCTCTGATTCTTTTGTTTCTTTATCAGAATTATAAGAGCACATATGATCTGAATGTTGTAATATAGGCATAGTTAAAGAGCATCTTTAAAGCAAAGACCGTACCTTTTTTTTTTTTTTTTTTGTCTTTTTGAGACAGGGTCTCCCTGTAGCCCTAGCTGGCCTGGATTCGCTATGGAGACCAGGCTGGCCTCGAACTCACAGAGATCCACCTGCCTTTGCCTCCTGAGTGCTGGGATTAAAGGTGTGTGCCACCATGTCTGGCTAAAACCATGCCTTTTAATGAATTTATTTTCTATCTTCTGTTGCTCTCATCAAAGATTAGTAGGATTATAGACTGTGATGTCTGAGCCTGTGTTCTAATCCTGGCTCTATTACTCTAGCTGTATATCCTTAGGCAAGCTTCTAAAAGTTCTTCAAACCTTAGTTTCCACATTTTTTTTTTTGGTGGGGGGTGTCTTTTTGAGACAGGGTCTCCCTGTAGCCCCAGCTGGCCCAGAACTCAACTATGTAGAGCAGGCTGGCCTTGAACTCACAGAGACCCGCCTGCCTCTGTTTCCCCGAGTGCTGGGATTAAAGGCATGCACCACCACATCCAGCTTAGTTTCCTCATTTATAGGATGAGGTTAGCAAGTACTTATCTCAGCTGTTATAAACATCAAATGAGATAATTCATGGAAAATACTCAGCATTTTCACTACACAAAGGTAAGACATGACCTTAAGAAATAGCAAATGTGGGGCTTGGAGAGATGTCTCAATGGTTAAGAGCACTGGGCTGCTCTTACAGAGGACCTGGGTTTGATTCCCAGCACCCATACAGCAGCTAACACCCTCCTGTAACTCCAGTTCCAGGGGTTCCCACACCCTCTTTGCCCTCCTGACATCTGTGGACATTGCACTGCACTTACATACATGCAGGCAATACACTCTTACACACACACACACACACACACACACACACACACAAATACACACAAAAATTATAAAATATTAAAAAAGAAATAGCAAATGTGTAAATAATGAACTATAATGAAATGTAAGGAAAGTGAAAATGATAAAACACTCATATGAACGTGAAGCGTTCATTATTGTGAAAGAAAGGAATAAAGGTGATTAAGTCTGTTGGGCGATAACCAAAAGGTCAAACAGGGAAATCAGGAAAGCTGCTGCCCCAGTTGTTACAATAAAGAATGAAGAGGGGTCTAGTAAGATGGTTCAGTAGGTAAAGGCACTTGCTACCAAACCTGATAACCTGAGTTCCATTCCTGGAACCCAAATGGTAGCAAGAACTAATTCCCATGGCTGTTCTCTGACTTCCACATGCTCAGGTGGTGGCATGCCCCAACCCAAATAAGCAAATGAATGAATAAATAAAAGAGAAAAAAATGAATAGGAATACTCCAAGCAGAACAGGGGACAGGGCTAGTGAAGGGTGCTTCAGGAAGGGCCTAGAATTAGTAAAGGTGTGAGCTGTTGAAGGCTGGTAGTATGCTAGGGAAAGAACCACCTACATGGTATGGGTAGACCCCTGCCCTGGGTACATAGGGATTGAATTGTAAATGAGGCTGGAAAACAAGCTGGGACCAAACTATAAAAGGGTTTATATATCACACTGAGCAGGTATTTGGACTTTGCTCAACAAGTAGCCAAGAAACACTGAGCATTTGAATATGCTCAGATGTGACTGAAAAGAGATACTTTACTCAGGAGGCAGAGGCAGGCGTATCTCTGTAAGTTCAAGGCCAGCCTGGTCTACATAGTGAATTCCAGGCCAACTGGGGCTACAAGGAGGCCCTGACTGAAAAAGAACCCCCCCAAAAGAATGTACCCGGTAAGTCATAGAATATGTTCCTGACCAGACTCTTACCTAAAGTAAGTACAGAAATCCTGCAATTCAATTTAAAAAGGCAATCTACTCTTCAAGAAGGACAGAAGACTGAACTGACACTTTGGCAAAGGCAGACCCGTGCACAGCCAGTTACGCCC